GGCCCCGCCTCGACCCAGCGGACCCTGACAGGCGGGTCGGGCGGGTGGACCCTCACGGGCGGGTCGGGCGGGCAGACCCCAGCAGGAGGGTCGCGCGGGCTGGACATGAAAGCGACTTTTGGAAATTGTACTGAAGTCTGCGGCGAGAGCACGATTCCTGAGCAAATTGCGAAAAGGTCTGGCGCGAGAGTGCGGTTCCTGGGCGTCGAGAGCGCAGCGCCGGAACAAATTGCAATGCAGTCCCAGGCAAGAGTGCGATTCCTTAGTGAATCGCCAGGAAGTCTCGAACGAGAGCGCCAATTTTCAATGAGTTGTGAGGAATTGTCAGGCGGGAGCCGTTGTTGTTGTAATTCGCCGGGTGCCAAGGGGCCCAGTTTGACACAACAAGACTTCTTCTTGCAAAAGCGGGGTGCAAGTCACAGGGGGGCACGTCAATCGAAAAAAACACGGCGCGTGCTGGACAAGGGGGACCAATAGGTACATCGGCGATACGAAAGTTTTGACCCGTTTCGTGCTTCCACCAAGACGAGGCATAACGAAGGTTCCAATGATGGGTGTGGAATGGGAAGGAGGACCAGAGGACCGCTCCCACCCCTGAACGAAAATCAAAGTGACACAGTGTAGGTCTACTTTGGACTCCCAGCTTTTACTCCCGATGGAAGCGCAGGGCTGTCAGCCAACAAATTGCGTTACGGCTCTTCGGCCGAATGAAAATCAGAAGGGGAAGGAAGGCGCAGCCTACGGCGTGGTGTCCCGGAAGCGAAAGCGACCCGTGCCTACGACACGCGCCCGCGACTCGCAGCAACCCGCACTCGCGACCAGCGTCCGCGACCAGAGCTCGCGACCAGAGTCTGCGACCCCCGCTGGAGACCGCGCCCGCGGCAGGCGACATGCGACCTTGTTTGCTGCCTCACTGACTGGTTTCCTGCCGAACGTGCCCGCTCTTGCAGCACGAATGGCTATCTCATAAATGCTCACAGCGCCTGTGGGACCACATTGCCAGTGACACCACTCCTGATAAGGAGCAGTACGCTTATTTGAACTAATCAGCACCTGAACACCACCAGGACTGTGAGCACCCAGCCGCCTGTGGGACCACAGTGCCAGTGAACGCCACTCCTGGCAAGCAGCAGCACGCAGTCAGGATTATTTGAGCCAAACAACGCTTGAGCACCACCGTGATTATGAGCACCCAGCCGCCTCCAACCATCCGTCGCCAGTCAATCCCACTTCCCTTGCATTCCTCATCTGTCCACCCCATCCTCCCTCCTTCGCTTATATGTCGAAAACTTGCTACCTCTTCTCTCCATCCTTCCTCCCTTCACCCCCTTCCATCCCTGGATCCCTCAACACGTCAAATCACCTTCGCTCCTTCCCTCATCCTCGCCCCTCCCTTTCGGAATCCATCCGAACATGAATGTGTCCCTCATACTTCTTTCCTCCATCCGTCCGTCATCCTTCATCGCTCATCCTGTCATCTGTCCTCCCTCCATCTCCCAACCCATCCACCCACCTGGGTCTCCTGACTGCCTCCCTCCTTCCTCCCTCCGTCCCTCTTCCCATCATCCATCCTGCATCGTCCGTGCTCCCTCATCTCCCCATGCCTGGTCACTCCTGCCTGCTTCCCTCGAGCCCTCCACGCATCCGCCTCCCCTCACTCCTCTTCCCGCCAGACCTCCCCCTCCCTCATCAATTCCTCCGCCCGCCCTTCACTCCTCCTAGATCATGGAGGGATGGAGGAGGATGGGGGGCGAGGAGGAGGAGGAGGAGGAGGAGGAGGAGGAGGAGGAGTGAGGAGGAGGAGGAGGGGGAGGAGGAGGGGGAGGAGGAGGAGGAGTGAGGAGGAGGAGGAGGAGGAGGAGGAGGAGGAGGTGTAAGGGGTCATCCCTCACACCTCCTCCCTCCCCCTTCCACCCGCCCGTCCCCCTCCGCCCGTCTGCCCGCCCGAATCCTCTTCTCAGCTTCTCCTCCTCCTCCTCCTCCTCTCCTCCTCCTCCATCCTCCTCACTCCTCCTCCCACCTCCTCCTCCTCCTCCTCCTCCTCCTCCTCCTCCTCCTCCTCCTCCCTCCTCCTCCCTCCTCCTCCCCTCCTCCTCCTCCTCCTCACTCCTCCTCCTCCTCCTCCTCCTTCTCCTCCCCCTCTTCCTCCTTCTCCTCTTCCCCCGTCTCATCATCTGCCTCTTCATCTTCCTTCCTCCCCCTCCTCCTCCTCCTCCTCCTCCTCCTCCTCGTCCTCCTCCTCCTCATAATCACATCCTCCCCCTTCCTTATCCCCGCCCTCCGTGGAAAGATCTGCGAACACATACATTGGTATGCGGTTCACTCCTGGACGGCATGCTGCTGCAATACCTGACAAAACAACTCAGCTGGGGAACTTGCCGCATGGCCCGGGGGGACGCGAGGCGTCCAGAACTGTAGGCTGGGTAATGCACTTCGCCATAGCCCCAACGGTCACTTCACGAAGTGTTCGTATGTCCACTGGACGGTAACCTGGAAAAAACGCCTACTCCGCCCTACCGACGCATCTGGTTGTGAAATCACGAAAAAATGTCACGCCCCCTGCGGGCGGCCTGCTTTGGACAAAACCGCGTGGGGCAACGGAGCCCTCATCCTGCACGGGATACGTTCCGACTTGTGTATTGGAGGAAGTCCTGGGCGGGAACGCCATTCCGAAACCGAACACGAACAATTCGGAATCTGTTTTAAAGGAAATCCCGGCCGGGAGCGCCATTTTGAAATCGATCACAGAAGGTTCGAATTATGTTGGGGAGGTAGTCTTGGGCGGGAGCGCCATTTAGAAATCGAAGCAGAAGGGTTTCTAATTCTAGCTTGGAGGAAGTCTTGAGCGGGAACGCCATACGCCATTTCGACGCCGAGCCCGAAAGGTTTCGAATCCTGTATTGGAGGAAGTCCTGGGCGGGAGCACCATTTCAAAATCAAGCTGCAGAAATGCCGACCTCTATTGTCCAGGAAATCCTGGGCGGGAGCGCCGCTTCGAAATCGAACCAGATGGTTTCGAATTCAAGTAATCAGAAAGTCCTGGGCGGGAGCGCCATTTCGAAATCGAACCCGAAAGGCTCCACATTCTGTTTCGAAACAAATCCAAGACGGCAGCGCAATGTCGAAATCGAACCGAGACAGTTTCGAATTCGACTTTGGAGAAAGCCTTGGGCGGGAGCGCCATGTCGAAATCGAACCCGAAAATTTTGAAATCGTTCGAAATTGTTGTTTGATAAATCTCAAGCGGAAGCGTCGCCTAGAAATTGACACTTCGCTTGGCAGATTGAATGTTAGATACCTGGCAGGAGATTTCGAAAGTATAGTTTTCGCTTGAGACTTCCGCCCCCCATAACATCGAACCAATTCGAAACTTCCAGGTTCGACTTCGAAATGACGCTCCCGCCCAAGACTTCCTTCAAATAACGATATCGACTGGATTTCGAAACCATCGGGCTCGACTTGGACAGGGCGCTTCCGCTCGAGACTTGCGCAAAACAATGCTTGAACAGAACCTGGTGCTTGGGCCCCGCCGCCTCACCTGCCCCTTTGACGTGTCCTCTACTGTCGCGGGCGTAACGTCACTGACAAGGCTGTACCGGGGCCCCGGGGCCCAACGAGAGGCGCTGCATGCGGGCCGAACTTTCGCAACGGCAAAGTATCCCTCAGAAGTGAAAACTCCACATCGAGAGTCCGCACCGAAGACCCCCACTCGGGTCAGGACCGCTCGGCCCCCTCAATCGGCGAATGGCATATGAGGTTTACGTGTATATAATGATAACACAGATGAGGGAGCGAGAGGAACACCGAAAAAGAAAGGAAGAGGAGGGAGGCACCCATGAGTGAAAAAACGGCTCGGATGAGCTGTCACGAAAGCGTTTGGCAGTGCGCCCGCAACTGAAGCTGACGCCAAATCTGAGTTGATGGCGGTGGTGGTCTTGATGATGTCGAGGAGGACGAAGAGAACGATTACGATGATGCTAAAGTTGATGGTGGTGATGGTGGCGGTGATAATGAAGAAGAAGATGATGATGGTGATGCTGGTGCTTACGGTTGTGGTGGTGATCCGGATGCTGAGAAGGAGATGATGGTGATGATGCGGGTGTTGGAGCTGGCGTTGGTGTTTGTGACGGTGATGGTGATGACGATGATGATGACAAGTATGATGATCATAATGATGGAGGAGGTGATGAAGATGATCGTGATGGTGCTGGTGATCGTTACGATGAAGATGATGATGGTGATGGTAGTGATGCTGGTGATGATGCTGGTGATG